AACTACTTGGTGTTCCCTAAGTGACTAGGCTGTGTCGTGCCTTTGCATATTCTGTTCCTTCTACCTGGAATGCCTTTCCCCACATTTTCCACTTTGCAGACACATACCTGTCACATTGTTGGTGAAAGCTTTGTCTCCTTCTCTCCCAACCCATTCAACACTGTATATTAGAGCCCATATCATTTTGAGTCATCCTGAGACACTGGGACCTCCATGAGGGAAGGAACTACGTTCACTAAATCCGAGGAAAGCTTTTCTCTCTGCTGAACCTCTTCCAGCGTCTCCCTCCACCGGTTGTCCTGATGGAGTTGGGCTCTCTCCACATCTTGACATCAAGACATGATACATTCCCCCAGTGTCAGGAAGTCAAACACACAAAGGACGTAAATCCTGCATAGCACTCAGGTAGCAGTTTTTACACTTCTCTTTACCCATGAGATCCTTTGTCTGAATAAAAATTTAGCAAGCCTAGCATGTAAAACCAATGAAATAGAAGGTAAGGATCTGGGGATTCTACAGAAGCCCTCGGTTGGGTTCTGTGGAATTGTTTGGAAACCAGTGACCTTGGGGATGGGTGTTGGTCAGGTGTTTTCAGATAGTAGTTCTCAACTTGAAGCTTGTTTCTTGTTTGGGAGATCTAGTTAGCATATCAGTTTGGCCACTATAAGAGGGGAGGAATAGCAGTGACTTAAGCAAGAGCCAGATGGAATTTATGTTTCACTCTCATGAGGTAATTGATCATTAGCAGCCCAGGGCTTGGTGGCAGCTCCTGGGTATTGGGGACCACAGTTCCTTACATGTTGCTGCTCTACTGTCCTCAACTTGTGGCTTGCATCTCATGGTCTCAGGTGCACATGCCATCTCTTTCTGCACAGCCACATTCTAGCCTGTGGGGCAGGTTGCAAAGGGACTGGAGGGCTTGCTCGTTCCCTCTCAGGGCACAGCACAGAAACGGCATGTAGCACTTCTGCTCATGTATCATCTGGATGGGACTGGAGGATGCAGTTCAGATGCCTTTGCCCATCACCAAATTAGTTTACTGTGTATTGAGCACTGACTCTGCACCAAACTCTGTGCTCGACCCTGGGATTCAAACATAAGCAACACACAAGGGCAGACAGAAATAAACACCTAGGCTGGGGAGCTCAAGGCTCCTGGGCAGCTGGGGGTGGTTTGAGATGAGGCACACAGAGGGAGAGGTCAGTGGCCCTTGAAATATTAGTAGGTGTTTACCAAGTAACGGTGAGTGATGTCCTCGGGATGCCAAAGCATTCCAGAGGCTTGGAGGAGTGAGCCAGGCTGGCATGTGCAGAGAGTGAGCCAGGGCCTGCTCTCCATGCTGAGGGCTGTGGACAGCGTCCTGTGCTGATGGGCTGAGCAAGGACGTGGGGATGGGGGGATCCGTTAATGTCTCCTCGTTCTGATCCCAGCTTGATTCTCAGCCTTGTCTTGGTGCTCGCCTGCCCCTACCCTCTTGTCTTGCTACTTTTTTCTCTGTGCCTTCCTGGCGTTGGCACTGTTGCTTAGGTTATGCTGTTCCCTCAGCCTGGCTTGCCCTTCCTTCTGTGGTTTGCCAGTCCAGGCCCTACTTGTCCTCTAAGGCCCAGCTGAGAGGTGTGGTCACTCTGGGCCACAGCATTTCCCCGCTGAGAGCTCATTAGCTAGGGTAGGGTATTGTTCCCATATTGTAAACAGGAAACTGATGCTTCCAGCAGGTAAGTAATGTGTTCCCCTCCCACGGCTAGAGCAGGCTGAGAGCTCATTAGCTAGGGTAGGGTATTGTTCCCATATTATAAACAGGAAACTGATGCTTCCAGCAGGTAAGTAATGTGTTCCCCTCCCACGGCTAGAGCAGGTGGCAGGGGTCCTGATCTCCTGCTTCTGTTCCCTGCCTGATTCTGTTCAGTATAAATAATTCAAACTACAAAGATGAGCATTTGAAAATTATCTCAAATCCTATCATTCAGAAATTCCTGTAGTTTACACTAAATGATAATCAGTTTAGACAGCTTTATAGGGACATAGACAGATATAAAGATAAATATTTAGACATACTTCTATAAACAGTGATTGTACTCCTGTCCAGTATGATAGCCATTAGCCATGCGTAGTTATTGACCTCTTGAAATGAAGCAGGTTTGAATTGAGATGTGCTGTAAGTATAAAATACACACTGATTTGGAAACCTTAATATGAAAAAATAATGTAAAATATCTCATTAATGTTTAAAAAATATTGATTACATGTTGAACTGATAATATTTGGGTATATTTACTTCAATAAAATATATTATTAAAATTCTGCTTTTTTCTTTTTTGTTTTTAAATATGGCTACTAAAAATTTCTAAATTACATATGTGGCTTGCAGGTATTTCTGCTGAGCAGCATTGCTCTGATATAGTATTAATAAGTTTATTAATAAGTATTAATGAGAAAAAAGAAACTAAAGTGGATCTAAAGGAATTGTTGAGCTCTAAATAAATTCTTCCTCATTATTTCCTAAAAGAGTCCACTAATATTTTTAAAAAATTTTGAAAAATAGCAAAAGATTTTTAAAAACACTACATCATACAGTGTTTGAAATGTGAGGACATGGTTTTGATATATTATTATTTTTGCATTGTATTGGTTTCTAACATTCATATTCTGTCCGCAGCTATAATTCTTGTAGATATTTAGTATTCTATATGTAAATGAGCTGATGGTCACTGTCAGACCTTTGCCTATGTCCTTCGTTCCTAGATTTTTTTTTTTTGTCAGGAAGGGCTCATGTTTCTGGGATGATGCTTGTTGCTTTCATTCCTGCTGGTGTTCGGCAGGGTCTCACCTTTTGTCCCTGTACACTCTGTAGCCATTGCTTCATTGTCTACTGGTGTTGGACGCTGCTGTGGTCCTTCCTGATTTTCTCTCCATCTTACAGGAGATTTGTTTTTTCTTCCTGGATATGTAAAGAATTCTTGAGTTCTTAATTAGTTCTTAACTTAATTCTTGAGTTCTAACTTAACTCAGCCCTGTTTTGGTGTTACTTGTCTCCTCCCAGGACTCTAGGTCTGATCTGTAGGAGATTATTTTAGGCTTCCCAGTACACAGACAGAAGCACTGCCAGCACCTATAGATTTGGCAGTTTGGGGTCAACTGATCGAAACACATGGAAAAGGCTTTCAGCCTTTGGTGGGCTTACCACCCAGAATCTCAGTAGGTCCTCAGTGATTATTTTTTGAATTAACTTTAAATTGCATAAATAAAAGGCAAATCTATTCTCCTTTCTGGGATCAGGATGTTAGTGATAAAGATAAAGTCCATTTTGGCCACTAACCCCAGTTGAGGTCACCTCCCTCCACCCCAGCAGTAACTATCATGAGTTTGAGATATATCCTCCCAGACATTTTAAAACTGATTTTGTACTTTAATACAATTGTGTTCTGTCAGATCACAGAAAAATAGACCATGCTCAGCTGGTGTATGAATCATTTTGGGTTTATTCAGAGCAGTTTGATTCAGAGTAGATTCCAAAGAGCTGCTCCTAGAGTGAGCTTTTTACTTTAATTAACAAGCCATCATAGACATCGACAGCATTATAACTATAAGAAGTGTACTCAAAGGAGTAAAAATTTCATACAAACATTCCCAAATGTCAGTTCTGCATAGTTTTGACTTTCAGATAGAAACAGCGTGCATTCAGGTAATTTTGACACAAACTTGTTTTAAGAATCTGACTGTACAGACATTCTACCAGTTCATATCCATGTATATGGCCATTGGACACAAAAGACCTAGGAGATTTCACTGCAGCACTCTTGGAAAATGCATAATATTGGTTTTTGTGTGTGTGTTATAAAGGTCATACTGAATATATCATAGGACAATTTTATTTTTTTTCCTACTGAACTTGAACTCTCTCCATGTTAATATGTATCCATCTTTATAGATTCAGGAATGTGTGACACAGGAATAATTGAATGCTTGAGCCTACACCTATTTGGGTACATATTACTGGAACATTCTTTACTAATGAACAGAATTTACTATAAGATGGCACTCACTTAGACCCCATCTAAGGTTACAAAGTTCCAGAAGGGCCTTGCTGGGGGCCTGGAGCCTTGGGGTGTGGTGGTCCAGAGGTCCTTGGGGAATTCCCAGCACACAGACCATTCCTTGCTCCAGTTTAGCTTCTCACTTTGTCTTTGTAGATGACATGGCAGAACTTCTCCTCGGAGAGTCGAAGCTGGAGCAGTATCTGAAGGAACACCCCCTGAGGCAGGGGGCCAGTCCCCGGGGCCCCAGGCCCCAGCTGACTGAGGTCCGCAAGCATCTGACTGCTGCCCTGGACCGAGGGAACCTCAAGGTACTGTGGACCTCTGGAACAAAGAGGGGACAGTGGGAAGATGCTGGCACCCTCTCCTGTGGACAATGTGTAAGGTTGGGAAGGATGCCCAGGATAATCTGGGCAATATTTGGAGCTCATGTGCACCCTGCCATGACTTGTCTTAGAAGCAGGCCACCTCCCTGATGAGCGACGTGGCAACCTCTAGGATGATTGACCACCTTGTGGGGGCTTCTGGCCCAATAGGGTCTCTGATAAGAGTCTTTAGCGACACTTCATCCTGAACCATGGATCGCCCCAGGTTCTTGAAATAAAGCTGGCTCAGAGCTCAACCTGACACTTTGCTCTGCCCTAGAAAAGAGAGAAATTAATCAGGAGAGTCATGAACACACAATTTCCTGCCTATATCGTGTGGCTCATGAAAGTAACTCTGCTGCAGCCCAGAGCTGTGTTGGGCTTCCTACTGTGCCAGCGTTGGGAGGGAACCAGGAACTTCCCTGTGCCTGAGCAAGGACCCTAATACTCGTGGCATGGGAAATTTTAGGCACTGCCCCTGTATTTATAATAACTTTCTTTTCTTTTTTTTTTTTTTTGAGGCCAGCCCTATAACTTTATTTTCTAGTCTCTACCTACACTCAGGTTTCCTTTCCTTCTCACCTGTCTTTCCTTTCTTGCTTCTTGGTAATCCCCTTTCAGTTCCTTTTGCTTTTCACAGGAGGCTTTTCTCCCTTGCTCTCCCTGCCCCTCCTCCTCCCTGGTAGACTCGGCTCTGGACACTTCTCCACCCCTGAAGCCTGGCTCTTGCTGCTTTCCTGTAGTCAGCCTCGTGCAGATAACGGACTGCATCACAGCCCGACCTGCCCATCTTCTGTAGGGCCCTTTTTTCCCAGGATGTATTTTCCACTGGGGACAGTCTTCAGGGAACTTTTGAAGCTTTGCCTTCTTCTTCCTTTTAGCCTGGATGATTTCTCTTTCATTTTTCTTCTCTTCCAAGCTCAGAATCCTCTGGGGCTACTTTGGTCTTCACTCTCGTCAGTTTGTGCACATTTTCCCCCAGAGAAGTCATGTTTTCTCTGCCTTTACCTTTTGTATCTGTATTGGAAACTCGTGCCTGCTCTCATCTTGCTGTGTGACCCAGGGAAGGTCACTTCCCTCTCTGGGGACTCTTCTGTAGGTTTGAATGGGATGGGCTGTAGGAGGTGGTGAGCTTGGACCCTCCCAGCTCCTGTGTGCTCCGAGCCCACGAGCTTTCATTCTGAGATGTTCTTCCTCCTTGTCATCTGCCACCTCCTTGGCTCTGTTGCAGTTGAAGCCTTGGGCAGCATTTGAATACGTTAGTATTGTGTCTATCCATTATGTAGCAACAGACTTCTGAAACCTGCACAGAGAGCCACCTTTCAAAACGGTCCCTGCCTATGTCTGTCTGCACTGGTTGCAGCTCCAGGCCCCTAGGAGGCTGGCTTCAGAGCATCACTTTAACACAGAAAGCCCAGGTTTATGGGGCTCACTGCTGCATTCGGGCTTTAAAACCCAGGGCTTCTCTTTCCCTGTTCGGTTTCTTTCTGAGGGCCCTGCCACACTTTGACTCAAAGTAGGGAACGGTGGTTTCCATGTCAACAGTTCTTAACCAAGGAGGCTCACTGACACTGATGGTGGGTTCTGATCAGCAGGAGAGGAAGGGACAGCAGGCACTTGGGGCCACAGCTCTTAGTGGCTGCCAGTCAGACTCAAGTGTCCTGCCTGGAGTTGTTTTGGTATGACTCTGTTAAAGGGAGTCATCCTAGTTCTTTTCTTTCCCACCTCTAAACCCCCTAACTTCATCTTGAAAAATTAGCCTTTTATGTCAGTAGGTGCTGATAGTTTTTGCCTCCCATCTTCTACAACCCAATGTGGCAGTAAGAACGTTGAATTTCATGTTAAAATTCTGGATTTTTAGTCCCAGTTCTGGATTTATAAGCTGTGTGATCTTGGGAAGTTACTTAACCTGTCTGAGCTTTATGCTTCTCAACCGTAGGCCTACTTAGCTTAGAGCTGTTTTGAGGCTCAAATGTGGAAGTTCTTTTATAACTATAATACTAGACCCCTGTCATTTACTGTTATTTTCTTGTTTCTACCCAGAGGGTTTCTCCCACTCTTGTTTTTTAGCTTTCTCACCTTACGAAGAATGTTGCAAGTCGCACAGCTTTCGCATGTGTGTGTTGCTTCACTCACACTGGCCAATGCGAGGACTCCCTCTTCCCTGGACTGTAAGTCCAGTGTGGCTCCAGTGAATTGAGGCTGGAGAGAGCAGAGTCAGCCACAGTGTGGCGTGATAGGAGCCGGGACTAGGAATCGGGAGCGCCAGGTTCTGATTCAAGGAAAGAAGATCACGCTTATCACGAGCAAGCTAGCCCTGGCACTGGATCAAGGCTGCTCTAGGTTGGGGCCACCTAGGCAGCCGAGTGGCCTTGGCCAGGCTCTCTCATCTGCTGCACAGGGCCACAGACTGGACTCACTTGCCAGGCTCTCCCAGAGTGTGCCTCTAGACTTGTGATTTTCTTCAAGCTTATTTTCCATTTGGCCCTTCAGTTTGATATTTTTAAAACATTTTTATTCCTTGTGGTAAGATAGACCTCACATAAAATTTAATATTATAACCATTTTTAGTTGCGTGCCCTGTTCAGTGGCATTAAGCACATTCCCATGGTTGTGCAACCGTCACCACCATCCATCTGCAGAACTCTCTTCGTCTTCCCCGACTGAGACTCTGTTCCCATTAAACACCACGTCCTCACTTACCCTTCCCCCTTCAGTTTGCTTTTAAGCCAATTCTCTGGCTGGAGGCTCGGGGAGGGAGGGAAGACATCACAGAATCTCACAGGAAACCTTTTCAAAATACCCAAGCCTGGCCTGTCTCCCCCACGCTGCTGGAGAACCCTGTGGTGGGTGGTTTTTTTCATAGCTCTTTTTCTCTTTTCTTAAGTCTGCTTTGATTTCTCTGTCTCCAAATATAATTCTAATTTCTTGCATAGGTGCCTGTCCCTGGGGCCACCCACAAACCCTCTTTGCCCCTTCAGTCCTCTTTGCCCGTTCTGCCATCCTCTCCAGTTCTGCCTGCTGTCCCTGCTCCCTTCCAAGAAATGCCTGGAAGCTGACCGCCGTGGCCAGAGAACCTGCTTCCACATGCTCTGCTTGGTCACCTGTGTCTGGTTACCCACCCCATCAAAGCTGTAGGTTGCAGAATAGTGCTGCTCCATGGTGTGCTTGTGTAAGCTGAAAAATTTAGCTTTGAATAGCTTGGGCTGGGAGGAGAAGGCCTGGGAGAGGGTGATAAATCTGTTTCCTTATATAGGTGGCTGGGTTGCCTCTACTTTCTCCAGCTGAGGGTGTGGAGGGGAGGAAGGCAGGAGATGAGGTTGGTGGGGTGGACTGGGGAGGAAGGAGAGCCTGGCAGAGCTGGCATAGCCCTCGGCCTTGGGGGGCGGGGTGGTCAGTAACTTCTGCTTAACAAGCTTGAATGGCTCTGTGCAAAGAAAATCCAGATTTTTGCACCCATTTAGAGAGCCTCTCCTTCAGTTGCCTGGGTTACAGTCTTGTGGTGCATCTCCAGTGCCACAGGCAGGACCTGCTAGGATGTTGGGCAGCTTTCTTTCTGAGACAGGTCCTGATAGGCTTTACTCATGAAGCGTTCCTTCCATCCTTGGCTCAGCCTGGCCAAGGGCCTACAGGGAGAGCTGCTGGGCTTTTGTTTTTCTGCAATGGCTTTATTGACATAAAATTCACATGCCATACAATTTACCCATTTGAAGTGTACAATTCAGTGGTTTTTAGTGTATTCATAAAGCTGTGCGATCATCACCATAATCAATTCCAGAACACTTTCCTCACCCCCAAAATAAACCCTCCCGATCCCTCACCCCCAGCCACAGGCAAACGCTAATGTACATTCTGACTCTATGAGGGAGAGCTGCTGGGCTTTTGTTTTTCTGCAGTGGCTTTATTGACATAAAATTCACATGCCATACAATTTACCCATTTGAAGTGTACAATTCAGTGGTTTTTAGTGTATTCATAAAGCTGTGTGATCATCACCACAATCAATTCCAGAACACTTTCCTCACCCCCAAAACAAACCCTCCCGATCCCTCACCCCCAGCCACAGGCAAACGCTAATGTACATTCTGACTCTATGCATTTGACCATTCTGGACATTTCATATAAACGGACCCATACAGTATGTGGCCTTTTGTGCCTGGCTTTCTTACTTGGCATAATGTTTTGGGGTTCATCTGTGTTGTGGCATGGATCAGTTCTTCATTCTTTATTATGACTGAGTATTGTTCCATTTTATGGCCAGACCACATTTTGATGGACATTTGGGCTGTTTCCACCTTTTGGCTGTTGTGAATAATACTGCTGTGAACGTCTGTGTACAAGTTTTGTGTGGCGAGCTGTGGGATTTTACCGCAGCAGACGGCTGGGCCTGAGGGAGCATCCCATATGGTAGGAAAATGTTTTTTCCTCTCCTTTTTCTTCTAGTCAGAATTCCTACAAGAATCCAATCTCATCATGGCCAAGTTGAATTATGTGGAAGGAGATTATAAAGAAGCTCTGAACATTTATGCCCGCGTGGGCCTCGATGACTTGCCACTGACAGCCGTCCCTCCATACAGGCTGCGGATGATGGCCGAAGCCTTCGCTACCAAAGGTGAGGCCTGTGTCCCTCCCTCGGCCTCGTGCTCCTGAGCCAGCAGGGCCTCCCTGGAGCCTGCTGTCTGTCCCCTGACCTTGGCCGGTGGTGAACTCAGCAATTCCCAGCAAGCCCGGGGTCGGCTCCCATGCACGTACTGGCTAATTTTAAACCCAGCAACAACACATGGTTTCCTCAGAGCCCCTGTCCTTCAGTTGTCATTGAAGAGAATGAATGGAGGGAAAACATTTCGGTGATAATTCTTGATAATTAAGTTGCAACGTAAGCAGGGGCTTTTCTTGGTATTTAAGATGCTGTGCGGCATATACAGGGATTCATACCATGTGGGTGATTGGCCATGTGGCTGACTGTGTTTTTATTCATTAATGTCACCTCTGTGTTAATTAAGGCTAATGGGTTGATACTGGCAATCACTGTAGCTATCAGTCCTCCAGTAGTTAACTGTGTACCTGTTCAGGGGTTAGAGGAAAGTGTAAATACCGTCTGTACTGCCAGGAAGGGGTTTGTAATCTGCTGTGAGAGAATGCAGTCCCACAGAAAGAGAAACAACAGAAAGGCAGGACACAGATTATTTGATCTTTTCAAGCTGCCACTTACTAATCTGTGATGGGTGTAATCACATCTGCTTTATAGAATTCTTATGAGGATTAAGTTAAATATGATGTATGTAAAGCACTTAACATAGTACCTGGCACATCCTAAATGGTTAATAAATGATATTTGAAAATGTCAGTCCCAAACAAGGCAGCAAATGGTAAAAGTCAGGGTTGGGTAACACCTTTTCAAAGAGGCAGGAGAGGTCACTACAGGCCAAAAGGGCCAGGAAGGAAGACGAGCACTTTGAACTGGGCTTCTCAAGGCCGTGGCAAGAGGTGGACAGTCTGAAGCAGCTCCTCTCCTTCCTGCCACCTGCTGTCCAAACTGCACATAGTGACTAACTGGGGCTGGCACAGGAGCCAGAGCCCTAGATGGCTTGAACCTCTAGAACAGCAGTACGCTGGACAATTGTGTGCTACTGGCACTTTCTGGCCAAAATGTGGAGGCTGCAGGTGTCCCGCCTGTATGACTCAGTTGTCCTTTGCTGTGTTGAACAAAGGCCCCGCCCAAGGCCCACTTCTTAAGAGCTTTGTGATGGGGATGCCGTATTTACCAGTTCCCTGGGGAGCCTCGAGTACTGTCAGGCCCGGCTAATTAATCTTCTAAATGTCCCCATGGGCTGGGAAAAGATGCTGTCTCTCTTGACAGGGCACTCTGGTGGTTTAATGGGCTCGGTCTTTTGAGGCTGTCTTCGAGGTCCTGAGAGCATCTGGGTTTTGTTTGCATCTGTCTGAGCTATGGGGCGTGCTGGGGTCTTTGCCACACAGCTGCCCTCTTCTCTCTCTGATGCTCACTCAGCCAACTCATGTGCCTTAGACTTCTGGGAGGGGTGTGTGTGTGTGTGTGTGTGTGTGTGTGTGTTATTTCAGGCCAAGGACAATACTCTAGAATGAGAGCAAAGCTTCATCTGGCAACTTCCACTCAACCGATTGACCTGGGGCCTGGTGGGTTGGAGCCAGGAGTTGGTTTGCTATTTGGGAGTGGGAGGTGGCTCTGGGCCTGCTTAGCACTAAAAGCTCAGGTCTTAGTACTCGCTCTGCAACAGTATAATGGAGGCAGACTGTTCAGGTGGCACTGCCAGCTCATTCTCGTGGCTGCCATGCAAGGTGGGCAAGAAGAACAGTGGACTTGGTCCTGAGTCTTGCCCTGGGTGATATGTGATTAGCATTGGTCGCCCAGCCATGAGGTTGTGGCACTTGGCTCTTGGGACACCGGCTGGCTCATGGGAGTCCTGGCTCTGGCTAGTTTCTAACAACTGTGGATACATGCAGAGTCACATGTGACAGGGAGAGGGAAGGATCACTTTTACCCAGCAGGACCCAGGCCTGCACGAGCCTGGATGGCTCTGTGAGAGGCAGTGTAGAGTGACAGTTCTGAGCATCTGCTTGGGTCCACCTCCCGTCTCTGTCACATACTGGCTGTGTGACCTTGTGCAAGTTCCTTAACGTCTCTGTACCTCAGTTTCCCCATCTATCAAGCTCTCATTGGGCTGTCATGAGGATTATAGGAGATAGTATATATAAAATGCTTAAAACAGTGCCTGGCACACAGTGAGCATGACGTAAATGTTAGTTTGAAAGATAATTGTTTGCTGAGGAGTGAGGGGGGGCGCATACAAGTGACTTATAATAACGGAGAGAAAATGCCAGCCTAATTCATGGAGATGCCCAAAGACGGGACAGTTCTCTGAGGACTTCAAGAGGCCTTTGGTCCTAGCTCTGTTTAGGAATATTCTTGGTTTGCTTTCTTTACCAAGGTCCTTGAGAGTTTTCAAGGGGAGACTGCCTGCAGGGGTTCTATGAATGTGAGTATACAAGGACTCTAAAATCATTAGTTTGCACCACTGGGCTACGGGCTGCTGGTGACAGGGTTTGTTTACTTGGCTCAGTGTTTCCAACACTTTTGAGTTAGTTGCTAACGTTTCAAAATTGGGAATATCCAGTTAAATATTTGGCCTTCTGACTTCTTTGGTAAGAAGGGAAAAGCTGTCCCCACAATTCCCCCAGAACAAGACCAGGCTGGAGCTGAGTGGCAGCTGTCCCTTGGGTGGGTGTGCACCCAACTCACGTCCCTCCTCATGTTCCCTATGTTCTGCTGTAGGCAGCAGACTTGACCTGCACACTTGTTTAGATCACTTAAGCTTTTCCATGGTGACCTGAGGTCTGACTTGACTAGGGCTTTCAGCCAGAGTCTGCAATGACATCTGCACTTCCAGCATGTCTGGGAGCTCTTCCCCCTGGCCAGGGAATGTTAGTCCTCGCTTATTAGGAATCAGAAGCTAACACCATTTGGTTACTGAGAACCTCCTGTGGGCCAGCACCATGTTAGGGGCTTTACTGTTTCTTTAATCCTCCAAACTCTGAGGTGTGCTGAGAGATTCCTGCATGCCAGGCTTGTGCCCTGTGATTGGGCATCTCATTCATTCTCCTCAGCCACCCTCTGGGGTAAGCACCATTATTCTTCCCATTTTACAGATGAGAAAACTGGGCCACAGGGCATTAGATGCACTTGCCCAGGGTCCTACAGCCAGGAAGCGGGATAGCCAGGACTTGGCCTCAGAGCCTGGCTCCAGAGCCCTTGCTCTCCTACTGAGTGGCGGAAGGGAAACTCGGTCTGAAGAGTGGTAAATTCCAAGCCCATGTTCTTCATCTGTCTGCTCTAGTGGCAAGTGGACTTGCTTGGGCCAAGTAAGGTTTTCTCAGGGAGAAAACAGTCAAGTTGCTAGAGAACACCTGAGGTTTGTATTTGCACCCTCTTCTCAGCCCCACCCCCTGATTCCTCTACCTTAACTGCTCACCTTGCCTAGGTTTCTTCTTGTAAGTTCTGTCCTCAAGCTCACGCATCCTGTGTTCTCTGAAGCTCTCTGGGCCTCACCCAGTCAGAGTTGATCATATTGGATGCTGTCATAGCTCAGTGGATTAGAATCTTGTGAGAAACACATTAGAATTAGTTGCCTCTTCCAGTCTGTGAGTTCCTCCAGAGGAAGAGTCAGTCTTGTTCATTTGCATTTCTTAGGACTTAGCACAGTGTCTAGCACATAAGTGCTGCTAAATTATGGAATGAAATTTGTAAAGGCTCCCTTGCTTGGATTTCTACCCAGATGCCCCTCATGGAATTCAGGTGATTCTGGGTGCCTTTGATCCTAGCCTGTCATGGTTAGCTGTGTTTTCTTTGCCTGTAGGTACCATACTGAGCATTTTTTTTTTTTTTTTGTCTTTTTTGTGACCTGTAAGGGGATCGCAACCCTTGGCTTGGTGTCGCCCGCACCGCGCTCAGCCAGTAAGCGCACCGGCCATCCTTATATAGGATCCAAACCTGCGGCGGGAGCGCTGCTGCGCTCCCAAGCGCTGCACTCTCCTGAGTGTGCCACGGGGCCAGCCCCATACTGAGCATTTTTGATGATTCAGAATCCTTTTCTGCCAGTTGTGGGGGAGGAGCCTGCTGACGTCACACCATAACAGAGCCTGGCATGGACCTCTTTTCCAAAGGTTGTAGATTTTAGTTCTTTCTCCTACTGGGGAGCTCAACTCCCCCTGTCTACATTTCCTCATATCCCTTAAGACTAAGTAGAAACAGGGTTTTGGAATAGAAGAAACGGAGAAGCTCTGTAGCTTCTGGTAGTATTGGGTTAATCAAGTAAGTTGAGGACGTTGTTCTAGGATACAGGTTGAGGAAATCTTTGGGACACCAAGTGGCCACAAATGTTCTCCCTAAGGGGAGTCTGGGGACAGTAGAAAAATGGCCACTGTCTTCATTGAGACTTAGACCTACTAGACATGGGGTAACTTTCTGTGCATAGGATAGTGGGATCTGCAAGTGGCGTGACTTCCTAGAGCTGGTCTTTATAAATAGCCTTGGTATGTACTTTGCTATAATAAAAGGATTAGAAGTGCATTAGTTCCAATGTGAGGAAGTCCTGAAACAGTCCAGCTGGCCAAGGCTGGTGGTGGGGTTATACCATTTATTAGGGCGCTGTCTTCATCTGCCTGATTGGAGCAGATTGTTGGCATGTTGCAGCTCATGGAAAGGGGAAAGGAGAGAGGGGTCTGGGGTGAGGGGAAATAACACATCAGTCTGCTGACAGTCCGTCGGTGAGGAATTGCTCATAGGGCTACAACCGCCAGGCATCAGGAGACAGAAGAGGAGAGATTGGGGGCAGGGAGGCCTCTGGTTAAACATGTCTATTAGATCTTGGTCTCTCACCCAGTTGGAATCTGTAGCGGGTGCAAGGAGAGAAGCAGCCTGTGCTCAGGTGAAAGAAAGGGGGTATATGGGACCATGAGGCCAGTGGGGGCTGGTGACCTAGAGGAGGGAAACTGAAGCTGGAAACAGCAGGTGGCATTAAACTTCCTTCAGATGGCAGGGTACCAACCAGAGGGGGACTGGCTCCAAAGAGTGAA